TTAATCTTTCGATTTAACTTTCAAAATTCCGCACTTCACCAAGACACCCTCCAATAGAAAAACCAGTCAAGGATGCGGGCTCTGTAACACCCTAGGCAGCAGTTCTTGACAGAACCTAACATCTATAAAGAAACAACCAAACATAATGCACAGACAAAATTACACTACCACTATATAAAGCAAAATTTTAGTCATGCACCAACAAGGAGATGCAATTGATAAACCCAAACGAAAGGTGCAAGCAGCAGAAGCAACCAAAAAGATACATAAAAATTTAGAGCATACCACTGTCAAAGCCAGAAGCTATGATACTACCTTCATACATAAAAACCAGGGAAATGTCGGTTTTCACGAAAAGGAAAATAAATAATCCAGTAGTACTTTCTCTTTCTTTAGCTTTTCTTGGTAGATAATCTAACACACTTTAACAACCAGCAAACATCTCAAGGCAAATATCAAATTAAGAAGAGGCCAAAGTACACAGCAAATCAAAACCATCAGGCCAGAGTTCACATTGTCTTGCATGAGATCACCAGAAGCACTTAAAGGCAACTGCACCAACAAGCTGTTACAAACCTGAATCAAACATTCATTCACAACTCAATACATCATTCCGCAACCAACAGACAAACAAAGTTCAGACTAACTAAAAAGAACATAATACAAGAAGATGCGAAAATTTCAAATAATAAGAATTAGAGTTCATGAAATTAAGAATTGGATTCTTACATCATTGTTGTTTCATGTTTGTTTCAAGGTTGAAAAGATTTCAGAAAATATTACACAACAATGTGTCAGAAATGGGTACTCAACTCTTAAAAAAACATATGCACATATAACGAATAAAATATAACATTATTTTCTGCATATTGTAAACATAAACACATCATTAGTATCTAGAAGTATAGCTATGAAGGCATTGTTGTGTGCATTTATGCACGTTATTTGTATCTAGAAGTACAGTCATGAAGGTAAGGGTTTGTGTGTGAATGTGCATATATACATGATTGGAAATGTATGCGTAGATAAATACTAATACATTTCACACGTGTCCGTACACAAATACCTACCAAACCTGCACGGACAATGTACCATACATCCACACGCATTTCTCAACAAATAAATGACTTCTGCAAGATATTAACATCAAAAGCGCCTTATTCCCAACCAATTGCATTAAAATGCTGGATAACATTGTCATTCAAATGAAGCATCAAAGATTCAAAGCTATAAAATAAGGAGGCAATCAAATATGTGTAAAGAGTGTATACAAGGACAATCAACCCACCTGTGCAAGAAATAACAAAAGCACACGACGTGGAATCAAAATTTTAAAACTTGATGTCCTAAGGAAAAGTTTTCCAATGATGCAGTTCTACCATAAAAATACCCACCATAAATTTAGAACTTTTACAGCTCAAACAATAGTAACTACATAAGATAGTCATATGCATAAGTAATATACTATAATATATTACCCTAATAAGCACTCGACAAACTAAAGAGAAAACCACATCATGGGCTCAAGCACGAGCAAGACACACTCATTGCCACATTTTTCACTTTGGTACCAAATGAAATAATGAGAAACTATAGAGGCACAAACATTTAAAGAAAAAAAAAATGAAGATAAGAACTACTACGAAGGGGCCAGCGTATAAGCATGTGCATACATCAATTCTCTCACTCAGGCACCACATTGTTTATGAGACTCGATGAAATCAAATTAACAGATCATGCATTTAGCATGTGAAAATTCTCCACTGCAACTTAATGCCATAACAAAAGAAACTTATGGTCCAAAGTTCTCCTATCCACTTCCAGAATTGGTTAGATCACACAAAATAATACTTGGCCTGCCGATTCCAGTACTCGGCAAATGTACCATCATTCTCACATGTACGTCAATGACTGATTCTCAATAAGATAGACTACTGCTGGTTCTCTATAAACAATGCCTCGTAGAAGTTTATCAGCAAGTATGTTTTCCATCTAAGAAGCTAAAACAACAAAACAAATAACCCTCAAAATAAATAATTAATAATAATGTTATTGATACCTCCATATTACCTCGTGTACATCAGATCCATATATGAATATTGTATCCCAAGCACACAACTAGAAGCTTTCAACTCAAAATTGCAAATTAAACTTCCATATGAAACCACACAAAACGATCTAAGTGTCACAAGAAGGCATAACACAAAGTTGTAACCAAGAAAACCATGTTGCTGTATAACCATAAAAGCCGGAGGCACGAATCAGTAGCACATCGATGAAGTCACAAAAGGACTGAAACGTTAATTTCAATTTGAACCTATCACCACGAAAGTCCAAGAAGCCAGAGGCACGAATCAGTAGCACATCGATGAAATCACAAAAGGACTGAAACATTAATTTCATTTAGAACCTATAACCATGAAAGTCCAAGGGTAGAATGCACATCATGCAAAATCACAAATGTCCACCAAAAAAAAAAAAAAAAGAGAGAGAGGCGAGATAGAGCAGAGCATATTGAAATAAAACATTGAGGGTCTGTTTGATTGCAATGATGGAAAATGGATGGAACGAAAATGAATTCTAGAGAAAGTAATTGCCTAAAAATTGTTTTGTAAGAAATTGTTAATTAAGTGTGTGTGATTGGTATAATTTCCACCCGAAAATTTTTTACATTTTGTGTTCGTTTGTTTTTGTTTTATATGGAAATTGTACATTAAAGTGATTATTTTTTTCACATCTCACCAAAAAGGCGGGAAAATATTTTCATCAAAAAGCCGGAAAATGCACACGTGTGGGCTAAACCCGGAAAATATTTTCCGTGGAAAATTTCGCCTATCAAACAGCCAAAAAAGTGGAAAGTGGAAAATATTTTCCTAGTTGCCTGGAAAATAAGGCGTATCAAACACGCCCTTAGGTCCAAAGTTCTCCTATCCACTTCCAGCATTGGTTAGATCACACAAAATAATACTTGGCCTGCCGATTCCAGTGCTCGGCAAATGTACCATCATTCTCACATGTACGTCAATGAGGAGGCAGACTAGCTGATTCTCAATAAGATAGCCTACTGCTGGTTCTCTATAAACAATGCCTGGTAGAAGTTTATCAGCAAGTGTGTTTTCCATCTAAGAAGCTAAAACAACAAAACAAATAACCCTCAAAATAAATAATTAATAACAATGTTATTGATACCTCCATATTACCTCGTGTACATCATATCCATATATGTATATTGCATCCCAAGCACACAACTAGAAGCTTTCAACTCAAAATTGCAAATTAAACTTCCATATGAAACCACACAAAACGATCTAAGTAGGGCTGTCCATGGGTCGGTTCGGTTCGGTTCTGAAGATACCCGAACCGACCCAAAACTTTCGGGTATTTAATAAATGGACCCGTCGGGTCCAAATATAATTATGGAACCGTTCGGGTTCGG